TTAAAATAAATTAAACAAAATATCGTGATCAATAGATGTACATCAAATATAACCTCTTCTTTCATCTTTTCCGTCTTCTCCAAGCTTTCACTCATTATGCTTTTTACTTAGCATCCCCCAGTTGCTAACTTTTTAGTCAACGCTGGTAAAATGGATAACATTTGGATTTGTCAGCAAGTCGAATTGTCGGTATCAGGCTTTGAAGATAAATTAATTTGAGCTATTTTGGCTCCTTCTGAAGGTATCCATTTTCCTTTTTGTGAAGATTTTAGCCCCTCCCAGGGTTGTGGCGGATTGCTACCTTAGTAAAGCCTGACCGACTCAGAAATCTCTATGGCAGATTCTCCAACATCTAGCTAGACTCCCAGAACCAGCTAAGCTATAGCCCAGCTATGAAAGGAAACAGACGTGTAGCACGGAGCACGTTTATTCAGTACGCATATTGCGGATAAAGTGTACACGCAGGAAGCTTAATCATGATCAGGATGGGGGATTAGGTTAAACAAACAGAGGTTAATGATTGGTCACTGTTTGTACGGTCGCACCTCCCAATCATGGCGTGCAACCATGCGATGACGTGTCCCACAGGGTTAACGAAAACGCAGAGACAAGAAGTAACACACATAATATTACCCAGCACGACTTCTAGTTAGGACCGTCGTGGGCTTGTGCTCTTTAAATTAAGAAATATGCCTTGATACTTACATTTAAACTTAGACGCTTTAACTTTTATTCTCCTTCAATATTTCCTACACAAAAGGCTTTTTCAGAACGGGGAGAAGGCTTAAAGGGTAGAAGAGAACTGTGGAATAGAAGTGTGTGCACCCGTCTAGTTATATGGGGAAAAATGCACTTTAATGAAACAGGTAGTCAGGCAAAATAGTAGTGTCCCCAGGCAATTCGGAAGGGTTCAACTAAATCGATCAACTAAAAGTTTGAGTGAGTCTTGACTGCTGCCCAAATTAATTAATTAATTAATCAATTTGCAGTTGCTTTCAATAATTAATGCAAAAACCAACTCTTAAACAGATCATGGTCAGAACGACTCACATTTTTGCTTTTCTCAGTTACCAAACAGTGGCTCACAAGAAATGCGGTGCCTAGAAACTTCCTTCAAATTAGTTTATTTCAATTTTCTCATAACACCCAGTCCCACAAGCTGATTAGATGTTAATTACCAGCTTTCCTATTCCCTACTTTAAATTACTGCTACTCAATCTAACATCTCGCTCATTTTTCTTCACTAGTATATCCAACTCAACTCTTAGTCTTTTGATTACGATATGGAGCAATGGTGTGCTAATCGGATACCTCAAAGCCTAATTTGCTAGTGCTGTTAAAGCGCCTTTGGTGTGGGGTTAGCGTAAGTTTAGGGTATCGATCTCAACTCGTTTTTCGTAAAACCTTCCATTTACGTAATCAAATGCCTAAATATTCGGAATGCTGTTCATTTACCCATATCTCGACTAATTAAGCCTTCAATTCTTCTGCTCATCAGTTTACATTTCGTAAAAATATGATCCCATTAGTAAAAATATCTTTGTTTCAATGTGTATTTAGTATGGATGACACCTATAAGGAAAAATAACTGCCTCTAGCCTCTAAATCTGAAAAGGCTATGGTAATTTAGAATTTTGTGAAATGTGTCATATCCTGACTGCAATGTAATCGCTTTATTCTCACCTCCTTATTAACGATTATTTACTTTCCTTCCCATTCGATAAGTTTATTTACGCTCCTTACATACAATAAACGCAAAAGTCAATGTCGTATCCTTTTGTTATTCTTTATAATACTAAATATTATTTCCATTAGGGAAGTACAATATGGTGAACAACGTTTTCACTAATTCCAATATTGAAACTCAGTTGAATGTACTTTGCAGTAGAGTGAATGTACCATTGCTTACAATAAGTTTGCACTTGCATCCAAACCTACGCACTGTGACAAGGAAGGCAAGATTTCATTTAAAATATGAGTATCGCTGTCTCATCCATCTTATTTTTACCGTGAAACGAATTGTTAAGAAATGAGGATGCAAAGTAGCGAGTTCAGTGCTTACAAAAACCAGGGCTTATGGCTATGAAATCATGCTTGTTAATGCTGCAGCATTGAGTCACTTTCAAATAACCTTATCTTTTGCCTTGAAATGATCCGCTCAGACCTAATAATAGTAAGTATAGTTGCATAAAACAACTTTTAAAATTAATTGTCGATGTTTTTACAAACCGATTAAGCAAGTTCATTTGATAATAAATGAAATCGACTAAATGCGTGGAGGAGGAGATACCACTACTGAGCATTAGCAAATCAAACCACTTCATCATACCACGTCGACACTGAAATTGATTTCATTAAAATGCAACAGGCCAAGGTATGCTTAACTAATGAAATTTTATAATTTAACAAAAAGTTTTAATATGAACTTAAAGAGAGCAGCATGCCTAATTACGTAATCGAGAAATTCGTACAAGACTATGCACGTAACCAGTAGGAAAAATTGTTCACATGGAAATGTCAAAAGCTGAATAAAATTTTACGCTATAGCTACCATTTTATCTCATACACTAAACAATTTTTGTTCTGCTAGTATTCAACCTTCAAGATGTACTTTGGATGGCAATTTTTAAAAGTTGATTTATTGGAAGAAAACGTAGACAAAATCTTCATATGATAGGAGATTTATTCTGTTGATATAAAATTGTTAGTTCTGAAATTTGAATAAATAAACCGATTTGCAAGCAGCAATGGACTAGATTTCATTAACATAATTTCCTTCAAAATAATGATTTGAACGGGCAAAAGATACATATTGGATTTATGCTTAGTGAAACTGTTTATAGTGTTTGCACATGTTGAGCACTCAAGGATTGCTCATTAAACGTGTTAAAAGCCCATCTAATTGTCACAATTATTTATACCACTTTAAATCATTCTAGGGATTCCGATAAATAGGGGAAGAGTTTCATCATTTTATTACAATATATATTTCTTTGGTATAAATTCTAGCAGTATTTATATTTATCATATGACAACTTTGCAGTAATAGTAAGAGTCTCATATATTGTTAACGAAACATAATTATGATTAATATCCTAATAAAGATGTGGAGAAAAATATTTAATATATAGGGATTTATGAATTAAAAATACATCACTAAAGGGTAATTTCATTAAAGCCCTTCATTTATTTTCATAGTTTAAAGTTTTCATGGACAGTGCAACTTTTCCATACTTTTATTTGCAAACTGATTTAAATGAAAGAAGGCAACAACGCCCTATGCCATTAGTTAAGTCAATTTATGATTCCCAACGTTTATATGCATATTAACCGAAATATTTACTTTGAAAATTCAGTGTCCTTTCTAATGAATGTGTATATGCAGATAGAACTCAGCCAGACTAACCGATCTAGTCAATGGTTCGAACACCTATCAACAGTTTTTATTTATCCTTAACCTACTACTACATTGTATATCACTGAGTTACTAAGACTATTTTCAGGGTTCTACAAAATTAAGATATATCTTAGAGCACTTTGAAGTTAAGTACTTTTATCAAATTCCTTAAAATTATGAAAATTCAAAACTTCCTGTTGTCCTTACACGAATAATATAGGTATGCGACCGTAATAAAAAATCACGTTTTTTGTCTTCTTAAAGTATGGTCATGCCCAAGGGCACATTAGGCATTCGCCTATATTTTACTCTCAGATCCCGCAATGCGATTGAATTCAAGGTCAAACAAAGGGAGTGGAAATGGCTACTGGAAGGAGGTCGTGCTTATGGAACTGCCATGTAAATCAGTATAGCAAAGAGACAGCAAATTTTCTTAAGGGTTTATACCATTTTAAGTTTCACTTGTTTAGGTTTAATTGACGAATCCAGGTTGGCGAATAAGTATCGCTGTGAAATAAGAGAACAAATAGCTAGTACATTTTCACTTATTAATAATTTTAGTACCTAGATGGTAAACCCCTACCAGTAGAATTTAAGAAAACAAAAATAAATGATAGCCCTCAGTCAACAAAATCCAATAAGTAATTACTGCTTTACGTTTTGAATGTATTTAGGCGGTCGACGAGCCTTCTCGGACTGAGAAGTCGTGAAGCAATAATTGCCAGTGGGGCTTATGATCCACCCAAATATCGCCCAATTAAAGGTAGCAAAATTTATTCCAAATCTTAACGTTTAGATTTCAGCAACCGAGACCAGGAGAAAAATCGATTGGCTTCAATATTTGCTTTTGGTGAGGACTTAACCAAAAAGAAAATTCAGGACGGAGAGAAATCTCCTTCACCAAAATTAAGCCGTTTTGATGAATGTAAGTTCATGTTCCAAACACATTTTGTCCTCTTAGTATTTAACGAATTGCAAGATCGCCAGTCGTTTCTAGAGGAAATGCGAAGCCTGGGAAAATCCTCAGCGTATGACAGTCAAATTCAATCTGAAATTTCGCAAATTATCAAAGAAATGGAACTTATAGATAAATGTGAAAGTGAAAAGCTGTTATATATCCAAACTAAGCCGTCGAAATAAACTAGAAAGATGCGTGATTTGTCAAATGTACTTTTATATGTAAACGACAAATTAAACTATAGAGAATTTTTCAATAAGGGGGAATGGGATAGGAGTTCAAAGGAACATTCATAGATTCATCAAACAGACATGCTGGGATCAAGAAGACAGTTGGGAAAGGAAAAATTTTGAAGATAATGCAGGTATTCTTATTTCAAGAGGGATCGAACTTCCTTGTGAACATGACAAAGGTACTCCACGTAGGTAGCATTTCCATTATCATCACGATCCTCACACATCATGCGTCGAATCCAAGTCTCTGGAAGATCATTTTGCCTAATCACACGTAGCTGAAACGAATAAAATAATAAAAATCTCGCCTACTTATTTTATCTAAGTAGAGTTATATAAAGGATCAACTCACTCGAGGGACATGAGTGAATTGAGAGATCACGGAGTTAACAAGCCGGTAGATACACTTCGAGAGAGGGTTATCTAGCTCATTCAAAGTAGCCTTTTCAGGTTCAAGAACATGGATATCTGTGACTCCAAAAACTTGCTGTATGAATACTGGATTGACCTGGAGACCACACCAAATGAAAGCATGAACACCATTTTGGACAAAATAGACACCAGTTGGATCAAGACGCTCGTAGGAGCAACGAATGGGTGTTGGGAGCTTGCTTCCCGCTGTCTCCGGATTTATCTCATGCTAAAAGAAAATTGGCAGTATAATCAACTTTAATATAAAAGTAGATCATGTTAGCAAAAATTGTATGGACAACTCACAAGTGGGAAAACGCGAGGATATACGAAGTTGTTAGTCTCCTTAGGGCTCATCGAATTGAGAAGGAATAAAAGGTAGGCACGATCATCAATGGTTGAATTCTTAGCTGAAAATAGAAAGAAAGACTAGGCTAAAGTGGTCAATGGTTTCTTTGGTAAGAAATTTCTGATCTAACCGGTAATCAATAGGCCAAATAGAAAATGCATCGGTAAATAAAAAAATTGAATTTTTATGCATGGCGGGAACATAATTGCCATGGAAAAGGTACCGATATTTCAAATCTGAAATAGGCAAAGCATTTGAGGTAGGAAAAAGTAGATTAGGTAAGCTATCGTTCTCCCAGGTAGAGAAAAATGAAACGAAAGGACATTCAGTTGCAAATCTGGAAAATATGTGTGGATGTGGGAGCGCTCTCAAGGCAAAAAAATGAAATTATAACTAATTAGTGAAGTGCTTAATTTAATCGTTAAAAGAAAAATTCAATTCAGGAGAGACGATCAAGCAATGTAAGCTTGAAAGCAGGATAAATCTTTAGTGATCCTACTAAGTTCACTTTTATGAATATTTGCTACTGTCGATCAGCCCGACCTTGCTGTTTAACTCGTCAGCTGAGGTTCTGTGGCACTCATGACCTAGAACCAAGTGACCTAAAAGCAGAATACTCAATGTTTTCACTCTCTGAGTTAACGCATCCTACTTGATTAAACATCTACAATCGTCTGACCCATTTTATTTATCACCAATCAGAATGTATTAAAGCAATTTCAACATCATTCTACAGCATTTATCACAAACAGTCACTGTGGACCACTCCATTTCCCCTGGCGTCTACTCTTATCTCAAGTAGACCGCAGTAACAAAAATATTTTCCAAGAGGAAAAAATAGAAAAAAACATTTAAGTAAAAAATGTATACTACTTACCGGATCGGATAGCATCTGTTTTAGCCAGACACTGAACATACAAAGGAAGAAGTTTAATGCTCTCAGGCAGAACCAACTCTCCAGGGCTTGCACCAGGAACAGAACTATTGCAGAGACGTCTGTAGCTAGCGAGAACATTAGCCACTGAAGCTGTGGCTTCGGCTAGAATCACTTGGTTGTTCTTAGCCACAGGAGCTCGTTGCACAGCTAGACGTGCTTGCCAGACAAGAAGGGTATCCAAGTCGGCAAGACGGAAAATGTCTGTCGGATTTGAGGATGTTGTCAAGGAGAGATTGTGAATACGCAGGCGTCTGTGACCTCCAACTGAGGTGTACAACACTGCAACCTGAATGAAAACAAGGTCATTGTCCGACAGCTTATCATCATATTTGACATCACAAGCAACGGTTTGGTTAGCATCTATTGCGGCGAATTCTACGTCAGTCGTATTGGGCAAGTTAGCATTGCCAAGGGTTTCAAAAGGCCGAGTTCCAGTGCTGGTGCGTACACGCATTACCGCATTGAACGCCTCTGGTTGCGAAACAGCCTTCTTCAGATCAGCAATGAATTGGTCCCCTTGTATATCAGCTTGGAAGTATGTATATTTGTAGAGGTTTCCTGAAGAGTACTTGGGAACTTCGCTGATTGTAGCCACATCGATAAATGAATTGGGGAAAAGAAAGAGATCGACACTTGCCCCTGCCTCAACACATTCTTTCCCCAACTTGGTGTAGTAGTCATTAGCCGGTTGGATCAAAGCCTTCTCTCTATCTGTTCCAATCAAATGTCTATCCTCGCGAAATAGAAGTTTCCCGGGGGCATCTCCAGTCGGAAGGGAGGTATGCATAACAAAGAGTTTTCCGCAACGGTTTGCTGACTTCAAAGCCTCTAAACCTGCTCTAATGGCAGGTGCTAGAACAGGTTCTGATGCTACAGGATTTTGAGAAGAAGGAGCAAGATTTTGCATTTGTGCGAACTGTCCAGGAATTGTGCTTAGTAGATATGTGAGAGTAGCTGAATCGGCATTAACCAAAAAGCCTTCAAGTGAGGGGATAAATACGTCAGCTGTATCAGCAACCACACTCATATGTGCCTTGTAGGAACTTGATTCAGAACCATCTGTTTGTGGACGAGCTCTAACAACATTGTAGAAGTGAAGTTGACTATCATAAGTGATGAAACCAACAGCAATCGGTGAAGGACTATCTTGATTAGTCGCTCCTGTAGCTAAGTCTTGTTTATCTTTAGGCAAATGAGGAAGGATATCGGTGATGAAGCGTGAACAAAAGAGATTGACCAGACCAGATCTAACTGATGTAGAAGATACATCTAGCAGAAAGATATAAGCCGGTGGTAGGGGTGGCGTATTATTCTTGCAGTATTCAGCGGTTGCAACAATTTCATAGGAGCCTAAACATAATTCGGGTCGTTGGAGCGCGTCAATACGACGCCCAGTGTGATCCAAATGGGCGAAGTATTCTTGTGGAACCTCTGTAGATGCACCACATAGACTACATTGGAAGCGTCTTCCACCATCAATGAACACAAAGAAGGGACATACATAAGCCTTGCAACGAACGCAACGCACTGGACCCTATACGCAAAAGACAAAATCAGAAAACATTCCCCAGCAGCAGAAATAGACATAAGTAAAAAATAATTTGTCAACAAACCTGGGGTCCCATGTCTGTAAGCATAACAGGCTGGTCAAGAGAATGAATAGGAGCGAATGGTTGAATTGAGAGTACGAAAGGTAAACTTATTTGTTTTTGAAGATCTGATGAGGTTGGAACAGCATAGAGAGAAGATCTGACGAAACGGGGATTGCAATTGCCTCCAGCACTTTCTTCGCGACAAACAAAGTCAGTAGTTGATAGAGGCGGTGCGACACCAATGGCACTTGGCTGAAAAGTGAAACCTGAATCGCTTCCACGCGTGGCCTTATCATTTTCAATCACCTATTAAGAAAAAAGTAGCATAGTAGAAAATCAATGATGTTAACATCGGATTGATGGTTTGTTGAAATATCCTCTAAGGGTAACCGATCATCAGCATGAATCGAAAAATAATTTCAAAAAAAGTTTTCAATACTTAGGGAGATTAGAAGAGATTCAAAAACTACACAAATAATCACACATTTAAGTGAAACTAAGAAGACGAATAAATAACATTACATACGGAGATAATATACGCATCATTTCTACATCATCAGCACTGTAGTAGAATAGCCCACATCCGAGTAGTGGTCTGATATTCAACCAATTAAATTTGCAAAAATAAATCATTTCAACAACAACATCTAGGAGCTACTTCTCTTCAGCCTACTCTGAGTCACTGTGGCAACGTTAGGTAAAACCTGATTAAAGCAAACACGTCTGTATATCATGTTAGAAAACATGTTTTCGTGTAAAAAATAGAGGCAAAGTAGTTATTGTATTCGCCCACAAAGTCAAAATTCAATTAGATAATTAAAGTAGCAGAATTTCAGTTTCTAAAATGGGAGGGTACCCGTAACAGGTGTTGTATAAAAACGTTACTCTGAATGGGTTTGGAAAATAATTTGTCGATTTGTTAAACGAAATTGGAGGAAGACAACATGCCAGCAAAAATTAATACCTTAGAAACAGGAACATATTTTAACCAAGCCAGCACTACCAAATAAAACTCTACATTCAAACAAAACAAACATTATGATTTAGTATAGAGGTCGCTTATGAAGATAATTAAAATTGCTCGGGTTCAATGAAAATTAATTAGTACGCGAGGTAAATTATTACTTCCAATATAGCGCAAGCTATTAATTATGAAAGATAATTGCATGTTAAACATTAAACAGAGGTCAATAATTTCAGGTCATTCTCCTTAACACAGCCCGAACTGAAAGAATAACAAATAAATATTTGCAAAGAAAAGCATATGAAAATTTCCTTTGGAGCTAATTTTCACTTTTAATGTGCAAGACGAACAAGAAACGACTATCGCAAGCAGAGAGAATGAAAAGTTATAAAAGACATCCTCATTATGAGAAAAACGTTTTGACCTTTTAGTTTAAATGGAAATAGCAAATGGGATGTTTGTTCTCTACTTAACTGCTTTAAACATGACTATACAAATCAGACAAAAAATCCAACGTAAAATTGAAAACTTAGATAATTCAAACTCATGCCTTTTGCAAGAGGGCTTGTTCTATTCATTGATTTAAAAAATAAGTAAATGTGCATACCAAACAAAGCAAGATGAATTCAAACGAACCTCGATAGCATTAGGCATTCCATCAGCCATTGCACGAACGGACTGAGTTTTCTGCATCATTGATTGCGGACCCTGAGGTGCAGGGGGCATCATACCTACTGGTGGAAATCCACCCTGATATGATAAAGGTGGCATTGTTTGCTGGCCAGGATAGGGCGGCAATTGCTGAATTGGATGTTGGGGATATTGGGAATGAAGAGGAGCCTGTGAAGCAGGTGGCGTGGGGGGCACTTGTGGGGATTGAGTGAGAGAAGTGGGTGGAACTGGTGGATAATTACTACCGTAGGCAGCCATATGAGGCTGAGTATAAGTTCCCGTCGGTGGTTGCAAAGGAGCTGTGTAACCAGACGATGAATAAGTGGACTCCTGTGCCTGATTTATACTTATGGATCCAAACCGATTGGTCAAGGATGGATCATCATGGCCAGAGTAATAACCATATGGCTGTGAGAAATATGATTGACTACATAGGTAGAAATAAGGTAAATAAAGAACATACCCATTTGAATTTAAGCCATTGGCTGGAGACGTTGGCTTAGGCGTTGGCTGAGGATACCCATGGGTTTGAAAGTCATTTTGATCAATGGACTGTTGAACTACAGGTTGTTGCAGTGACTGATGCATAGGCGGCATTGGCGGAAGCATCGTAATATGACTAAAGAAAACAAGAAGGACTTAAAATGCTATATTGTGGTTATGACGCGTCATGAGATGCAAGCAAAAAAGAGGATTGTCTAGGAGTAATATAGAATTTATCAAAGATCTAAAATTCGCAATACGTAGAACAAACGATATTACAAAGCATATAATATATCAAAAACACAGAAGCACCGTCAGAAAATCAGAACCAGTCGGGAAAACACCCACCTCAGCCTGACGTAGGTTGCTGTTAAATAAGGCGCGGTCCGATGCGACCTAATATTAATCAATGTAAACTATATTATTATTGAAATGTTTAATTAATAAAAGTCATAGATACAAGTGTCAAATAATTAACTTCTGCCACGTGTAATAGGATTATAAATTCGTTTCAAATATTGAATTAATATTTTGGAATACTGAATTGCGGATTGCCTGTGTATCTAGAAGGAAAGTTGGCCAATTTATATTATCTATTTTCAACCCTTACCACTATAACTAGGATTACAGTAGTGCTAGATATAAGCACAAATTATAAATGCAACATATTTTCATGCAACAGCGACCTTTAAGGGATTTTTGTTTACACCACAAACTGCAGTTTAACTTCGAAAAAATATTATTAAGGTGTTAATATATTTCAAATAACTCTTCTATTTAATGCATAAATTAAATTTTTATGATTATCCAATATTCAATATATTTGAAAAATAGATCCTGTTTTTACTCAAACTAAATTCACTTTTCCAAGCCCTCCGATCAGGACTAAAATTCATATTTTAACTTTTTTAACATAAAAAATGTCTCCGAATATTAGGACAAATACAATTGTTACTCTATCCACGCCATTTAGCGTTTTTAGTACGATGTACAGATCACGTCCATCTTCTGGAAGATTTGTTATCGAACTCAACAATGAATAGAAGATGTTAGGTAACACATACTACTTAAGATTAGTTGGCATTCTGTTAGATTTTGACAACACTATCTATGTAAGCACCAAAGTGGTGGTTGTTATTACAATTGATACCTACGCTTGTTGCCAATCAACATTCGAAGCCCTTTAATGTCGTATATGACTGATATCTATCGAGTAAATGGTATCCTTACGAATCCACTTTTAGTTGCCAATAAACTGAGAGCTCTTTATTATAAATGGTCAACATGTATGAACTAATAACTTACACATATTAATTTACTTGGTTATGAAACATATTATTTGTTGTGATTTAATGGGGTATCTTCAGCAAATAAATGCTCTCAAAAACAGTGTTCGATTATAGTTTCAGATGAGTCATTCCTAAAACTTTAATAATAGTTACCATTCTCATACCAGAACTTGCGTTGTGTCTTGTGTGTCCATTGCTGCTTCTAGAACTTTATGTTTTAACAATATTTTGACTTCACAAGTCATTCGCTTTACAATAGTCATCACGTGTCATTCAAAATACCGAAAAATATCTTAATTACATTAACGGGCTGCCACTCTATGCAATCAACCAATTTGACGCTTTCTAAAACTAATTTGGCTAATGCGATCCCACTTCTTTCACCTGCATATCAGCGTTTTCTCATCGCCCTCAGTTAAGTTCTTTATACTATATTCACTTTCTTCAGCACTTTTATGTGTGATTATTTGAAAGAACACAATTTGGCTACCAGATACATTACCTATTTAAAACCGTTCAAAACCTGTAAGTTATTTGTAGACTAGACTGACGTAGTCATTTTGATAGTAAATTGCCCCAATTTTAACATGAAATAAAGAGCCATTAATGTATTAATTATAAAATTGAGAATAGATTTATCAAAGTGATATCAAAGTAACCTTTAGTCAGTTTTTTTAAAATTAGTCTGGCCTAAACAACGGCTTCAATATGAATCATGATGAGAGTTACTAGTAACATAAGTTCCGGGTTCAGGAAATTTGCTGAACTGTCATAGTTACAAAGCTGCGGACCATAACAAATGTGTGTTCTACTAAGTCATTTTATTTAAGGAATTTAATAAAATTCAAATTAATGAGTATTTAAAATTTTATTCTGCTTTTAATTTATTTTTCTTTTGCAACTATCCTTTAAATTAGTCAAAAGACAAAGGCTGCCTCTGTAATTACGAGTGGTAGCATTGAACGCGCTCTTTCTCTAGTATTTATGAATGGCGAATCCTTCGTTTAATTACCAATTCAGATTCATTTTGATTGGAGACAGCACCGTTGGGAAATCATCACTCCTTCAATATTTCTATGAGGGTAAAATTGCATCGATTCCCGAGCCAACTGTTGGGGTCGACTACTTTTCACGGAATATTTTATTGACAGATGGAACAGTTATTAAGCTACGACTATGGGATACAGCTGGTCAGGAAAAGTTCAAGTATGTATTTATTGAAAACCTGCTCATTTGACTTCTAGATCAATTACGCGTTCATATTATCGCAATGCTGTAGGTGCACTTCTAATATTCGATATTACAAATCGGGATTCTTTCGAGCATATCATGGGCTGGTATGAAGATGCAGCAAATAATATGAAGTGTCAGCCTCCTATGTTTATTTTATGTGGACAGAAAACTGATTTGGAAAATCTTCGACAGGTCACAAAAATGGAGGCCGAAGTGCTTGCAGAGAATTTGGGGGTTCCTTACATTGAAACTTCTGCCCTCCATGGCGTTAACGTTGAAGAAGCATTCAAAATCCTCGCCGAAGCTGTCTACGAGCAAATGAATGCCGGAGCTTTTAGAAATGTAATTGGTTCTTATATAAGGGCTTTATTTAGTATTATTAAGTAACGCAATTTTTCTAACCTGTGAGTAATATCCTATACTTTAGGCTTAATCAACTCATACATAAACAAAATTACAAGTCATTGATTATTTTATCACTTCCGGTATTCGGCTGTAAATTGTATTGATCATTTTGTGTATTAAGAATTTTACTGATACTCGAAATTTCCATAGACAAGGCAATAGAACTCATGTTTCCTTTTTATATTTAGGTGCATCCACTTATTCTAATACTGTTTCGTCAGTGTCATTTGCTACTGAGTTTCGCAAGTTGAGAAATTAAAATCCATCTTTTTTGGAATTTATTGTCGAAAACTTTACCTTGTACATGACTTATTTTTAGTTATTATCCGAGAAAAGAGATGATACTCAATCCAGTTAGCAAAGGACTGCGAAGTTCATCTTCAAATTGTTCTGGTCTAACTCCGAATCTTCAGAGGATTTTTCTTTATTCAAATAGTTCATTAGTGTTTATGATTAACATGCAATTACATTTCCTAACTAATATATTGGAAAAGCTCCACTATAATGGAGCATTGTATATATTTAATGGCGAACTAACTTTGAATTCTCTTGCGTTAAAATTTGATCACGGGATATTATAGAGCGTTTTATGAAAAACTTTTATACGCTCAACACTCTTGCCGACTTCAAGAGGCCAATATTGTGGAAGGTTTTATTGCTATACAAATTTCTCTATTTTATGAACTTGTAATAGTTCGTCGGTGTATTTGCCTCTGAGATTGCCTTATCTTAATGCTTTTAATCCAATTCTATGCAAATTCTTTTTTTTCTGCAAAAATCTCTTATCATTTCAGCAATGGTTTCGTGATTGCAGTGTATTTATGAACTTAGATTTGAGTATAGGCTTGCTATTATCTCATGTTTTACCATTTGATGTTGCGTCGTCCTTTTAAATTCCTTCTTGATTGTATGACTTCGTAATCGACAACCCCATTCAAAGTAATCTTATTTGGTTAACTGGTGTTAGTTTACAGTAGCAAAATTTTCATATAATTAATAAGTAAACAAATTGCTTACTCGTTTTAACCTCTTTAGCTCGGCACGGTGAGTGGTTGGGACGGTATCAAAGAGGGCTATGGAATTCCCCCACAGACCAACCGTGTCAACCTAGCAGATGACAGGCCAAATCAATCGCCATCGTGTTGTTAAGTCATTTCAAAAGCCCCCTTCATTGCTCAATTGCAATCGTTGACTAATTTTACCTGTTACTTAGCTTGTCTCGTCTTGACATAACCTTGTCTAAATTTAGTCTTTCACATGGATTGGTTACTTACTCATACCTACTAACACTGCTTTATCACTATTCTTGGTATAATTTGACGGTTACTTATCAGTGTATATTTGACCCGCACTATCAGATCTTGAATCACAGTGTATTAGCATTTCGATTTTGATTTTAGCTATTTCTATGGTTTGAGACCCTTCGTGTTCCTTTTTTGGTTAATAAGATGAACATTTGGTTCAATACCCTGTTCTCTGATGATCCGTATGAGAGAACAAGCGCAATCTCGTTTATTAGTGCTAACAGTTGCACCTTTGGGCTGCCTCTGGTCACCCTTTTATTTTTTTGGATATTTACTTAGGTAAAAACCTTTACTTTTTAAGGCGCTTAGCTTCAACGATAAGAATAAAAGTCACTCGAAGGAGTTTAAGAAGTGTGAGCTTCATCGGATTTAGGTAGGGCTTTTATTGAGTCGCAATTAAGAAGTTTGCATTCCACAATCTCTCCTATTGAGCAGACTTAATTAGCGCGATTGACCTTCCAAGCCACCGGATTCGAAATAAGTCATCAATTTGGTTACCTATAATTGGGCGGACTTGCACGTTAAACTTTGTGACGTAGAAAAAAGATGAAATTTGATATCTGCCTTATTGATGCTCTCTCGATGCTCATGATGTACATAATGATCATTTTATTTCAAAATACAAATGGCCAAATTCCAATTCAGTTTGTTCGCAAAGTTCCTCTATTTTTTATAATCTAATAAGGCTTAGCAAACTAGGCTGCAGCAACAAATTGTGTTATTCAAAGAATTTCTATTAAAGACCCTAGATGACCACTAGGTTTGTTTATCCTTCGACATTTGTACTAACCTGTTCGTTCGTTTCGGTCCTTATAGCTAATTAAATTATCATTTCAAATGCAACTTTAGTAAAGTTTCTTCTTTGATTTATTTGGCCATTTCTACGAATCACAATAAGGATGTTTAAATAAGAAAATTTCAAAAGGCGTACTAAATGAAACTACGAGACCTTAGATTGAATTCTGACAAAGCATATAATTAGTATGGTCTCCTGGTCTATCTCTTAGCAGCGGGATGAATACACACAGCGACCATTGATCAGTCATTGATGAATGAATTATGAGAAATGAACTTCAACCTGCTTATTACTATTTAAATAGTTCATAGAACGCTGGAAAATATTAAATATACACATTTTGCACCAGTATGGACTAACTACTTTCGCATGCGTTGCATATGGTAACGATGACTGCAGAAATTCTAATTAAATTAAACAGAATGTTTTGAATGGGAATCGAAGACGCCGCAGCATCATTTCAAATATGAACCAGGATTATGGCCGAAACGAGAATTGGATGGATCACAGATATAACAAATAATCGTAGCAGTCTCGTGACTTATCGCTTGGTTCAGTAGATTGGAGGAGTAAGCCTACTACTGCCTTTCTAAGAATAGTCAGCTGACTTTACCAAAATAGAATATTGAAGTGCATTATCCAACACCGATTGAAATTCGAGGTGGTGAAAATTAAAAACAGAAACCAAGTGTGCTTGAGCCAGAGGGAAACTTGTACCGATCGGAATGATTTCAAGCCCAAACACTTATTCCCACCAGTGGTACAAAATCCAAATTGAATCTAAGAAAAAATTGCCTTGTTTTGAATCAAGTTATGTTCTTTGAATCATTCAAATGCTGCCACGACCTAACTAGCCTTGACAAAGTCATCTGCATCCCCCCTCCCCCCACTATTGCCTACCCAACCGCTTGCAATATTTCCTACACGGATTTAATTTGTTGCCTATAGAGTTTATTAATCAGTTGGCCTAAGGGGAGTGATTGGGCATGTAAGTCAGAAACAAATATCGCCTCACCGTTAAGCGCAACTATTTGTTATGACCCACGACACTGAGAAGCATCTTAGATTTGGCTGCAAAACAATAAACTCAACTATTGGTAGAAAGCAATGATAACAACGCTAAAATTTATACTAATAGAAAACTAAAGTGCTCGATAGCGTTTAATTACCTCGCAGAAAATGGTTAAATATCTATGAAAAAAGTACATCTTGTGCAGTAAAGGAGATGCAAACATGGCAAATAATGGACGCGATTTTATTTATCTAGTCAATAGCAAGGAACTGTCATGCACTAACCAAATACGAATCACTGCATTTAGTTCACTGTACAGTCAATTCGTGGGGTAGGGGCGCCTACAAAAAAGGGCCAAAGGAGTGGCGATTTGACTTGGAATAATGAAATTAGCTATTTATGAACATGAAATTACACTTGACTTCCAAATATAGAAGAGTAAATCACGAGTTAAAGCAAACTGTCTGTTCAGGATCTAATCTTATCCCATGAACGAGGAATTACAACAATGTTGGTTGAAAGGAATTTGTTAATATGTTGATAGCAAAATCTTCCTGCTGGGATTTTGTTCGGCACAAAAAAAGCATACAAATTCGCAGTAAGCAGCCCACTTCCCGTCAGTTACGGGGATAGCATCCATGAATTATTTTCAGTTCTAATTATCCTCTCTACCTTCCCCCAAATTCTCAAAATCGGTTCTTCTGAGTTTTAGCGATCACTTGAGTCATTGATATCGACGAGGACAATTGTTCATTTTAAATAAAATAGGCAAAATATGGAATTTTGTAAGCTACCGCGCGCTCCAATTTAATGGACATATTGGTTTTCCAAATTTCTAAGTACATTATCTAGCGCGGCCTTGTTTCTTCAAATCATTTATGCAATCATTCTTTATAACCTGAACATCTATACTTTTACCCATTTTGGCTTATGGTATAAATTAAAAGGCATCGGAATATTCAATAAAGATTATATTTGACTATACTCAGAAATCTCTATAGCAGATTCTCCTATGTTTGTAAAGACTCCCAGAACTTACTGCGATACCGCAAAGTTATAGAGAAAACAGCGTATCACGTGGAACACGTTTATATGATATGGTGTGCGGGCGTGCTTAACACTGTGTCGTGGAACTTAATCCTTACATATACTTTCTGGCATCATAACCACGCAATGACTCTGGCCATTGATTGGTCCTCCTGGCCTCGGTTATTTATTGGGCGAGAGGCTTCTGTTCTTGTTATGTTAAAGTTGTTTTCCCCATAAGTTCTTTAATTATGAGACTTTTAAACCTATTTCATGTTTTCGGATAAGACACAAATATAGCTCTATGAAGAAAACGGCCAAAGATATTTTTAAAAACATTTAGGAAAGAGGGTGGAGAAAGAACGCACATAAATAATTGCATGGGTGAGAGGAATCCCAATTGGATAATCTTATTCCATGCCTTATGATACTCAAGCCTCATTTATACCTTATAGGAATATCGAATATTGGATTTCTACATTCGAAAAGAGATTCGTGTGACCACCACTGAAATTACTATCGTGCCAAGTACAAAAATGACCTGTTCTACGCAAGCATCCTTTTCTCAACAAAACGATAGTCGAGGAAGCTGCAAGTCTTCCTTATTCCCCCTCTCATGGTCTGAGTAATTAACTTCCATAAAGTGACCACAGAACATTAATAAACTTTTCGGAGGTAAATTCATATACTCAAAGTGAATTAGGTGCTAAAAAGTCTTCATTGAATATCAAAAATAATTGCACTCGCGAGAGCTTATCTTATTCTTCTGCGAAGTATAAATGCCATAGGCTTAAAAGTTCACAACCTTGCCTAATTGAAAACGAAGTAACCTCCAACTAGCCCTTCCATTTTCGAGGAATTAAGAGCTGTACATCTGACAGTACACGAGTCCAAACTCACCAACAACAGAAAAAACAAAATTAACGGAGCTAAAAAGTTGCTTATATTGATTACATGCGCACAAATACACAAAATGGTGTTTCGAGTAGGAAACGAAATACCACACCATCCCCGAAAAAATTAAGAGCATAAAAAGGTGAGTGCGAGTACGTGAGAGATTTTACATTCACTCTCGAAAATCGTCCACACCCATTTATCGACGAGGAGGCGAGCGTCTGCGATACCTGGGAGATGGCGACACTGGACGTCGAGACGGCATTGTAGCCATACGTGGAGACGGCGTCCGATTGCTGTAGCGACCACGTCTTGGAGGCGTCGGTGGCGAGCGACGTCTTTCATTGGGAAATCTAGATCGATTTCCTGCTGGTGAAGGGCTCTATAACAGAAAAAAATCCTAAAAAATACTCCAGATTTTTAAAGATGAATGGGGTTTCAAGCCGACAGTTTACATTTACTCTCGCTCGTTTCTCTCTGGGTGCTAGATCTGAGGGAGGAAGACGGGAGTGTTGCTGCCTATCACCGAATTCACCCATGAAAGGGCTTCGGTTTTCACGTTTCTTCTCCTCGGGATCACGTTTGGAAAGAGGGCGACGTGTCTTCTCTGCAAGGAACTTATTTTGTCGAGACTTTAACTGAGCTGCAGCCTAAAAGACATTGAAAGAGATAGGAATAGATGAAAAGTCATTCAGAATACTTTTAGACTAAGTGCATATTCACGATAAGTCAATTTCAAAAATTGGTCAATAAGTTTGCCGAGGCAACGTGCAGATAATAAATAGATATTAAATGACACCAAAGGCTAGGATGAAGTATTGAACCAAATTAGAACTAAACTAGTACTGATATATTGGATGAAAATACAATCTTGACTGCCCACAGACGTATACCACGTCTATAGGTGCCCAGAATAAAAAAAGACAAAAATGTGTAAATTTTACAAAGGTTTTACTTTCTACCTTAATCAAGAAAGTACAGCTAATACGTCAATAACATATCAGGAAACACTTCATTCCCAGACAAGAGCTGGAAAGAGCAGTAATTGAAGAAATCAGTGGTCAATAAACAAATACAGTTTGTGAAATTTTACGTTTGCTTCACAGGCATCAAAAATATGAAACATTCTCCTGCATAATAGAACTAAATTTACCTCTATGGAGTCTTGGCATCATTAACAATCTGCTGGTGAAAGGAATGTCATAGCATGTGAAAATACAGATTGATTAAGCAATTGACTATAACGAAAATTTATTGTCTGAGTGACTGCTGAATCCCGTTCCTCTGCCCACATTAAAGGCTTGAATATACTCCTCCCACAATAGATTTGAGAATTGCTACCGACAACAGCTAATTATGTGAATGTAGACGAAAGTAAGTTTTACTAAATTCTTTTTCCTAAGACACTAAACTACAATTTAGTAAGCTCTGTATAAAGAAGATAAATTAGACAGTTTGAAACCAACAAGTAGACTTACTGCTTCGTTTGATAAGGGTAGCCAGTAGATCACAGGCGCAGCCTCAGTTTTTCTGAACAATTCATCTAAATTTTTTACAGGTTCCTCATCTAAAGACCGCAAACATAAATTACATTAGACACAATAGGTTGTTAAGGAAAAGCCACGTTCATTAAATGATATTTACCTTTACTGCTGCCTTTGGGATCCTCTCTCAATCTTCTGGACGGTCGTTCGTTCGAAAGATCTCTTTTATGATCATCCAAATGAAGTTTCCTTCCTTGCTGACCATCTAGACCAGGTCGACCTGATTTATCCGCGCAACCTGCGTTTTGAAAATGTTAAATCATCAAAACTGTATCCGTAAAAAAGCTCCAAGACAAAATATCAAATAACTCACCCGCAAATGAAGGGTCTAGAAGGTACCTCGGTGGCTGTTTATCTCCAGATTCTCCATTCTCTTTGAGCCAAGAAAAAAGCGCAACTGTTCCGAATTCACAATGAAGTATACGAGGATTTATAGAAGGCCATCGGCAACCATCCAAGCCCTCACGACACCTGGAAAGAAAAATGCAATTTGAGAAGGCAAATGGTAGGAATACGTTTTGATAGGCAAAATAGATGAAAAGCTGAAGTTGCCAATTATTAAAAAAAGCAGAAAAATTTACTTGACAGCGGTTTCTTGGTCCGCAAATCGAGCAATAGCCGAAGATTTGATGCGATCAAGCCAGAGTTCTGTTATTGCACCAAAATTTTTCTCCAACATAGATTTTAGACTAGCTTGCGTAAATGGACGGACGAGATAACGAATGTAAACAAGATTTGAGACCGGGCACTTTGCACCCTTTGATGGGTTAACACGAATGGGGTCTTCAATCGTTACACCTACTACGCGGGTTTCTAGAGGAATGAATGACCGTTGCGTTTACTTAAATTCATTGAGTAGAAATGATTAAATTCAAATAACACTTGCCCTTCTTATGAAATTCAACTACAGTTTTTTTGATGGGAGACATTTTCCCACCATTAAGACCCACGTCTTTTTGAGGTGCAGGCTTCTTAGGAGTCTTTTTGACTTCCAATTGAAGATTGGAATCAAGAGAAATTTCCTCTCCGCTTCCATAATCCTCCTCTTCCTCTTGAAGTTCAACAACGAGTTTATGAGTGGATGATGGTGGTAGAATTACAGCACGAGGAACCGCAGCAATTGAATCGGTTTGAACAGGAGGTTTCGAAGAATCTTGAGCCTCATTATCTGAAGCGCTATTCTGAAGGGATGTATCCATAACTTCTGAAGTACTCGGCTTCTAGAAAAATTGCAAATTGTCAATAGGATAAGCAAATATTAAAACCCATCAAATTTTAATATCATAATTAATATCTGATCATCCTGTACCGAAATTTCCGCTGCCATTGAAGCCTTTAATTCTTGCAAAGCTGGTTCCTGAAATATTATGAAGCGGACATAAATGAAAGGATAAATTATGAGCGGTGGGAAACAGAACAAATTTATTTTTAAGGAATAGAAAAGCATGTAAAAAACGGACGAGCAGCAGCTGAGGAAACCAGATAGCCATTTTGAATATAAAATAATTGTACGTAGTAAAGCCACTGTAGATTTTGCGTTAAATGCATTATTATCTAATTTGGATTTCGACAATACTAGCAATGGCAATTTTCAAATGAAGTTGAGCAAGGCCTGACTTAAACGAAAATGAACACCAGTGAATTGAAAACGAGAAAGAACTTCATAAATTCAATTTGAGTATACTGTTTGGCGCTGAAGTTGACAAAAACTTAACTTTCCAAAAGGACAATGTTTAGAATTCCATTTAAACAAAGTTTAGTTTAGTGCATTATCTAACTAGTATTGAATGTAATCTTTCCGATCATCAATGATAAACTAAATAGCGATGAAAAAATCAGATAACAGCTGGTGACGGAGTGATAAACGTGCTATTCGATGAAATCAGAAGCAATAAATTCCATGTACAGCAGTTCAGAATGATCAACCGCGCCGGTTAACTCTTGAAAACATGGAAAATTGACGGTACTCACTCCTCTTGCCATCTCAAAACCTCACTAAATGTAATGGAAATATACACAAAGAACTATTTTTGATAAGAATGCTGAAAATTTAGACTTAATATCGACGGATACTGAGGAAAATTGTACATTAAATCAAAATCACAATAATAAATGATGGAAAATATACCTCCGGCTCTGCTTCTGAAGTCTTCAAACATTCTGTAATATTAACGTCCTTCGAAATGGACTTCTTAAAATAGCAAAATAGATATCAACATTAGAACTGCATTAGTATTAAATGAAAAAATGTCCATGAGAACAAATAGCGAATTGGAGATAAGATCACCAAGACGTTATACAAGAGCAGAATATCACTAGGCAAGAGTAGAGATTTGGGCGCCCATAACAAGATGAAATTATTGCAAATTATGCATGGGGAAACACAGAAGAGAGCAAACGAAACAGAAGCTAATCTAAGTACCTCAGGCGATTGATTTTGATCCACCGAACAATCGGCGTTCTAAAAAAGACCATGTATTTCCCAGAAATTACAACCACTGATGAGCGATATAAAATCATAACAGCTCTGTTCATTTGAACACAAACTAATAATAAGTTTGCACTGAAAGCAGCCTAGAATTACCTCGTTTTCTTCACCATAAGATATGTCTATAACAAGCCTAGTTGATGAATCCATTTCCGATGTCTGAAAGAGTAATCAAGGCCAAAATAAATCAAAAATAGCAAAATTTCAAAACAGAAAATTATATCAGAGTGCCTTCACATTGCACAGATTGCGTTCTAATTCCAACCGATGATAAGAAAATAGTGACAAGTGGATGGAAATGATAAACTAAATAATGCTATAAGACAGCACTCTAGGTTCTAATTTGAAGGTATTTGAATACTCACTACCCTTAAGATTTAAATTTAAAACCGATTTCTCAAAGAACAAATAACCAAAAAAGAAATACTTAGTAGCGAATTACATCAATGGCTTATAGCTAAATAAAAAAAGAAAAAAATCTAGGAAACCAAGTATCTCAGAGACAATAGATGCCTTAAAGAGATCAAATTATAATGAGCATATTAACGAAAATGCGACGGAGTAAAAAAAAGTATAAACAATTCAATTTGAGCCCTATCTTTGCCATTTATTAATTATGGAAAAAACAGAAACTGTATAGTCAGAAAAGGAAATAAAATTAAAAAACAGCTGCTCAGACAATTCAAGAAAGAATACTGTAAGTACCTCATTGGCATTCAGTTCAATAGAAAATGATTATTTCAATCTGAACAAATTTTCTGAGAAAGGTAATCGATTTAACTAGCAACGAAGCCTATTTAGGTGGATATAAACACACACGTGAAATGGGCAAAGGTAAAAAGGGCATTAATTTACAAATTATATACCTGTGAATATGAGGGGTCGATATCCGAAGATTTTTCGGAACGCTCTATCTCCATGGATGGAGTCTCTACTGCAACTATTGATACAATCAATATGTGGATTACGAGAATATAATATGCTTACTTGGGGTATCTTCCATTGTTGAAGTAATCTGCTCCAAATCCACGCTGTTTTTAGAGGACATTAAATAATAAAACACAGAAGCAAAGAATAACAAAAAAGTAAACTGATCTTACTTTTCACTGGGGTCATCAACAATAGAGTTGTTATGAGAAGAATCAGACAGCGCCTAATAAGAAAAAAATATAAGTTAGGATTGAGAATAAATATCTTTAAATGAGTGCATTAAAAACACTAACTTCAGATAGACGCTTCACCAAGTCCTTTTTGAGACCGTTCTTATCCAAACCCAATACCTCTAATTCCTTCTTGAGTTCCACGACTTTCAGGGAATCAACTGGTCTACCATCAGGCAGAGTAATGCCGTCTGACATTTTAAAATAATTCTACAATGTAATATTGGATAATATTAAGATCATTAAAAAGGTAACAAATCACATATTTTAGCAAATAAACAGCAAAACCAATGCAATTACGAGATGTTATTTGTGTCTAGTAGGTAACTTGAAAATATAGAATTTTCGGAAAGTGAATGTGAAAAAGGGCTAAATTAGCCAAGTAATCCTAGTCTGAACAATCAAATAAGTTACTGTTTACAAGGAGAAACGAGCCTCTTTATGTGGACCGCCTCTTTACGAGTATTTTAACAGTCAGCATTAATTTAGTCCTTTTTAAAAAGTTTTAGAGATAAAGCGTTAAATAAAAATTTGTTCGTTATAAGAATTATTTTTCAATAAATCATCACGATTAAATTATGCATTTCATTAAAAATGCATTTATTCATTTAAATTAAACGTATATTAAAACGATTAAAGCATGATGCTGTTATTAGCGAACAGACGTTGAAAATTTCTAGGTGCTTACTATTTCACTTTTGAATCCTCTTCACCAATTCTCACAGGAGTCTGTGTTGCTATGTTAGAAAGTGCTACATTCAAAAAATTGGGCAATACATAAAAGTAAAAGCCAAATTTTCCCCCACTCAAATAGAATAATTTGTGATACTACTAATATTCACAACTAATTTCCAAAGTTCAGTAACTTTGCTTTATAAATATCGTCCAGGGAACGGATGGCAACACTGTTCATATGAATGCTTAAGCTATTTTATAATTTGCCTAATATATTTCGATTTTTTCAAAATTTACTTGGTGAAGTAAAAATGATAAGACAATGGGAAGGTTAATCATAGAGTAGCTTGAGCGAAAATATATATTCCTTTCACTTGACATATAGTTCGACACTGTTGCTGCAAACATTTCCACACAGTCTATCTGAACTATTAAAAAATACTTTATATCAACCATTCGTGTATTGAATTAAGTGCTTCTAATTTGGCAATCTAGATTTGAATGAAATGAACTTTACTGATTGTAGGCTATTGTGGGATCCACGAAAGTCCACAAACACTCTATTCATTCTACTGGAAAACGTTCATAAATAATTATTATTTCTGATAAAACAAGTAGAGACATCAAATGAGATATTCATAAAAATGAAAACGTTTTACAGTCAGTTTATTGAAAAAATGAAATCGAACCAATTAAATATTCTTAATTTAGTTATGAACCAAACTCACTAAGTTCAAAATATATGCACCTTTCTTCATGACAATTTCTTACACTTGCGCTGCACATTCTTTAAAATAATTTATTCTGTCATGCTATACAGACTAAATATTAAAGTCCTAACTGAGCCAAAAACCTGATATCTTAATATTTTTACCCTAAAGGTATGAAGAAGTGTAAACAGATGATGACTTAAATTGAAAAGGTTCACTCTTTCACCATATCATGAAGTTTCCGCTGAGCGGATTTAGACTACTTAGCAAATAAAATATCAAATACAGAAGGAAATTGTACTTGGATACTTGGTTTCTCGATATTTTAACGTCTCTTCCTTTCCTAATTGGTTTATAATTACTGGGATAAGAACTCAGAAAACTGTGAAACATCTTACCTCCACATCAATAGCTGTAATTGCCACACAGCTCATCTTAATTGGGCTTGATTTGAACAGAATGTTGCGAAACATTTGAGAGTTGATGGATTTGAAAAAATAAGCACTCTTAAAAAATAGGCTTAGGGGGAAATTATTGGTCCCAGAACCAAGATGGTCAACTTATCAAATAGGTTTCACTTCCTCCTTAAATGTAATATTGAACGAAATTAAAAAAAAAAACATACCTTTGATAACAATGAACATAACATCTTAAGTTCCTCTGCAACTTTATTCAAACTTTCAATTTTGGGCCTTTTGTGAGAAATTCGGGAAATAACCAAGAAATCAAAGATTCGATTTGGCATTCGTGTGTTGAATACACTAAATTAACATATGAAATTAAAAGTAAGATTTGAAATGCAATTACTTACTTTATAAGTAATTTAATATCACTTACCAGTTAGAAATAGCTCAAGGAGCTTTATGCAAGGTCATTCACAGTATTTACAGAAACAATATATGTAGAGTGAATTTTGAAATTGATCATTAGGTAACAAAATTTTACCATGGGTAAGAGAAGACTGTACCCAAAAGTTAGGCAAAACAAATATCACACTCTCTCCAAATAATGAAATGAAGGAAGGAAAAAATTAGATCCTGAAGGGTTGAATTGAAGCCCAGAATTCGGAAATGTTTAGTCTAAACAAGTCAATAAACATCTATTTAGGCAATATCGATAGGTTCTATCAAAAATACTGTTAATGCCGGTTGATAGTGAACTCTCAAGTTATCATTCACTGAAGGGCTAAGAAGGTAGGAATTTATGATGTTAGTATAGGAACCTTATCACGTTGGGTTCCATTCGTTGATATAGATGTTATCCAGACCTTCTTGACTTGAGATTATGTGAGAGTATTTTCACAACTTAAAGGTTACCTTTGCAGACTAGGATAAGAGAAAAAATAGTTTATCCAGAAGCTTTAGAGTGTGGGACACGTCATCGCATGCCTGCACGCCAGGAATGGGAGGTGCGACCGTATAAACCTAATCCGCCATCCTGATCATGATTAAGCTCCCTGCGTGTACACTTTATCCGCAATACCCGTACTGAATAAACGTGCTCCGTGCTACACGTCTGTTTCCTTTATAGCTGGGCTATAGCTTAGCTAGTTCTGGGAGTCTAGCTAGATGTTGGAGAATCTGCCATAGAGATTTCTGAGTTAGTCAGGCTTTACTAGAGCAGCAATGCGCTACAAGAGTAAGCAACAGTAGCCAACTATGAAGTAGACCACAGTGTCTCAGAGGTAATAATCATCATTGACAAAAAGTGCCAAATTTATTTTACTTTACATTGGAAGTTGAAACGTTACATGTCCAGTCGTTTAAATGGAATTTAATGAGAGAACTTTTTCCCACACATTTTGCAACAGCAAATATGGTTCAAGTTGGTAAGTAAAGAGACAAAATTCTCCTGGATCATGGATCGAATATGTCTATAGTCATACAACTGCTTCTCCCAATGACATACATTGTATGCACTTTTATCAAATTGTCGGACTTACTAGACTGATTAACCCAAGTGAAAGTAATCTCAGGGCGACATCAACACAAAACAATTTGATGGTGGAAAGACGAAAACAGAAAATGGAGGTGCTAGTGAATATGATCTCGCGTGTCCACATTTATCAATCAAAGTGATCCCATGCGAATACATGTGTGCGCAATAGTGGTTAGCGTAGCAATTAATCATATGCCACAAATCCAATCTTATATAAATAAGTTAATTTTGTTTATAAAATGGTCATTTTAGTTAAAGACGTCCCTCACGAGTTACAAATAACGGTTAGCTGTAAAATGGCAATCAAATAGATACAAATAAATTAGGAATAGTCATTAAAAATTAGAAATAGGAAAAAAATTGAATGTTGGTGGTTAATTACATTGCTTCTGTTGTGACTGTCCACGTAGGTGCTTTTAGAAGTAACAGTGACAGACACCCCAAGTAGGAAAGAAGCTGTTTCTTCTATTCAGACTCGAAAATAAGTTTCTAGTTATTTCATAATTTACAAGTACCAGGTATCAATGGCACTTCCAGTTGGGCCAGATTTCTGCTCTGATCTTAAATACGCCATGGATTTTCTAAGGTCGGAAGGAAATTGGTAGTGTCTACGTAGCCAGTATTCATTTATTTCCGTGATGTTTCCCACCAACTTTTGTAATTTCTTTGTTCATGGAGATCGTAAACATATGAGCTATGAGAAGTGAATCTTTAGTCTACTAATCAAATTGTAACAAAGGTGAGTTATCAAGCAAACGCGATGACTAATAGGAGGACTTCAATATTCAAAGCACCAAATCATTCGCTATCAACAATTAGGTGGATCATTGGAACTTTTGAATGCCGACAAAATGACTCTGCATGGGACAGACTCCGAATGCATATTCTCTTTTACGAACACAATTGGTGTGAGTGACATAGACATTCCCTTGTTCTCTTTCCACACTTTCAGTCTTCACCTTCTTTGTAATTCGTCTGGAATAAAACCCAAATAAGATAGGGGGCTTACAGCCTCAAGCCATAGTTTTGTCTTCTTTTTGTGACACATTTCANGACGACATGATGTAGATAATTGTGGGTGGAATAAATAGAAGAAAAGCCAATATGAGAGCAATGGAATTTGCTATCTTTGGCTTTGGTAGAATAAGACCATACTGTATCAGCGCGAAAATACCGCTGAGAGTAGAAGCCGCTCCCAAGATGGTTCCATACTGAGAAAGTGGGAATGCTGAGATGACCGTTATACAGAATGTGGAGAAGAGGAAACCACGCATGAGTAAGAAGAAGACAAAGTTGGCATAGAATGCGCCTTCCAAGGCAATGAATTGAAGACTAGTCACAGTAACTGTAAGCACTGCAAATATATACATTGAAATAGCTGCTGGTCTTGAGTTGTACATCAATACAGCGTAATTTCGCTCATATCCTGATGGAAGTGCTAAGAGGTGATCCAAATTTGGTTTATGTACACTTCGAATTTTATCAATAATTGCTCCACAAAGGAAAGCTGCTGGAATGCCACCCAGGAGGATAAACGTGAAAACACTACTCAAACGTTCAGTGGTCTCTGGGTTGTCAAAGTAGTAGTCTAAAAGTATACTGAATTCAGCGAGATAGAAGTTGAATTGAAATAGACCAAGACTGAAGAACATCAGAGCTACTAGGAAAGAGAGGGATCTCATTGATCTCTTCGGTGTAGGGAGTATCTCTGTTATCACAGCATCTACTCTGATATCCACTGAGATTTCATCAATCTTGAACATATATGCACTTGATTTCTGCAATGAAGTAAGGGAAATAAATAATACACAAATAAGTAAGTCTAATCTGATATGCTCAATTCATGAAACCCTTTAGACTTTAATAAATATTGTATTAGCCTACTTAATGCCAAGTTATTTTGAGTGAATATACGGGTGACAATTTCACAATGGTAAAATTATATGTGAAATATCAATTCATAAGCAAAGTTAAGTAAAATATTATAAGGCATTCAATTTTAAAGCGAATTCAATAAAGATATTCACTCTTAAAATTTCATTTTCATTTCGAAAAGCAAAAATAAGGTCTCGAATTCCCACTTTGACATTAATTAGAGAGAGAAACTTAGCTTTGAGTTAGTATGAAAATGAATCAACAATCCGACCATGAAAAATATGGTCCTATTTCTATGCAGTTAGCCACCTTATACTAAATAAAGCTTCTCATATTGATTGACAATTATTTCACACCATGTCATCAAATTTTAAAGTTCAAGGAGAATATCACATCCATTTCAATTTACTAACCTTTATTCTCGGTTCATCAGTGGTGTCCTCTTTATACTTCGGCATATCCTGAAGCCAGTATGACTGTACAAATAATGAATTAAGTAACCCTGTAATTAGAGCTCCAAGAGCTAATATGACGAAACAATATCTGAAGGAGAATCCAAATTTGTGAGACAGATGCACAAAGGCAAATAATCCGGATGAGCTATCATATACTCCTTCTATGAGAGTGACTACCATGGATGATGTCTTCGTGAAGAGCTGACCAGCACTTAGTGTGCAAATAACCATTCCCGTTCCTCCAATTCCATTTAGAATGCTAGCAATAAAGATTATTACTGCAGAAGAGGGTGTTAAGAAAGCGAACATAAGAAGGCCTGAGAAACCGATTATTGAAGAGATCATGTTGATTACCCGTAGACCAACATGATCAATCAGAAGGCCAATGACAACTCCCACAAAGAGTTGAATTACACAACACGTAGTGAAAGCATTGGCGTAAATGACAATTTGTTCCGTGCATGCTTTTGTACCATTTTGACAAACTTCACTGTAAATTCCAATATCTTGAAAAGTAGGGAATAAGGAATTCATCCCATAGATGACGCCACTAAAGCACATTTCAAGCGAACCTAGCAGCACAGCCAATATTTTTCGAACCTTTAATGGAACACAGTGATCTATTTTATTACCTAAAACACAAAGAGGAAAACAATGATAAAGTAAAGATTAAAATTATGCCTATATAAAAGTTTATATTTTTAAAAAAGTCAAAACAGAGCTACAGTATACGAAATTTGGCCTTAATTGCAAATGGTATATGCTTATTGGCTTATTTTCTGCAATTAAGGAATAATTACTGAATAACTCAACATACACAGAGACCACATTTTTAAGTTTGATTAAATTTTCCAATGAGGTCACGCTATGTAATTAGCTAGTTTGCATATTCAAACAAGGTCATTTAATAGGGTCTAATAAAATGTAATAATTCAAACTAATAGTGAAATTTGTCCACTATTCTGAAATTTCTTTTTTAATACGTTATGTGAATTCGAATACACTCTAAATAATCTCGTTGGCCACGAACGACTAAATTATTTTTACTGAACTTTTAAGACATTCTCGTTACTCTCGGAACGGTAACAAGGAATATATATCTTGATAGAATCTTCAATTGAGGCTAAGAATCAAACCGATGTTTTACTGTTTTTCACTATTTCAGACTTTTGATTTAGACATATGCATGAACTTGACAGAATTCGTTTACAATGCGAATATTAGCTCACCACTGGACTTGCTTTTGCGGGTTAGTATCTAGTAGACAAATCTCTCTTGTTCATCAATATGTTTTGTCTTTGGATTTGCTTCAGGAGTATATACGTATCTAGGCAGGAAAAAAAGGTGATAAAAATTTGCATTGAAGGTTATTACCATCAATAAATGGAAACTTCAGTGTACGTGGTCTTCAAATTGACGTTATTAAACGGAATGTGAACAGGACTATTCCGTTTAAGCAAATTAAATGAAACAGCTTATACGAATGATCAAATGAAATAAATTAACTCATATTTTCTCGCTTTCTAGTACAAGCATTTGAGGAATTGGAGATAACGATGTCAAATGTAATAGCTTTTCACACGTTATGAGTTAAATAATTTGTACGTCCTCAAAGTCATAGTCTCCATTCTCTGCTTTCAAAAATGGCATTGATATAATCCCATCGGCTCGCGAACAACAATATGTATCTAGTTCTAGTTCTAGTACAATTTAAGTACTTCTTAGATTGTAGGTAAGTAGGAAAGAAGTTAGATAGAGTCTTTACTATGAAGAGGTTTTAGTAAGGGCATAAATACTGGCACTGAGGCTGTGAGATAAAGTTCACGAGATTCTATAACGTAATCTTATAGAAAAAGTGTCAAAAATGTCAATCAAACAGATACGAAATAATTATAAAATATCTTCAAAACTTAGAACAAATCGAAAGATGAATATTAGAGGTAAAACAACACATAGCTTCTTTTGTGACTGGGACCTTCAAAAGTAACAGCGACAGGTGTCTTAAGTGGGGAAGAAGCGACTACTCAATGGAGTTGGTTTATTTCCGACCTGACACTATGAACATCCTACCGCATTTACGCAGCATTTTCGAACTCGATTTCAACTGATTTTAGCCTGTGCTGGTATTGGTCGCAAGAGAAATTGATGGCAAAGCTGTTTTGGAGAGAGAGACTGAGTTAACCCTCACAAAATGTAACTTCCATTTCATTCAACATAGGACTATGGTTAAGTTCAATGAATGTGATTTGAATGGAGTACATTTTGTTTTCTTTTAAACAAAGAGACCAATAGAATTGTACAAGTGGAACTATTTTATTCGAAAGCTGTCGCTTTTACGGTTTCTCGTGCGCTACTTCATTGTTAAACACGCCCATACAACTTTGAGCTATAATAGTTAGGAAAATTGGAACAGATCGTCCACATAACTATGGTTTGGCAATTCCGTAAGGTTGAAAGCACCAGGTCAAACAGGAAGTTCCAGTTCTGTTTAATTCCTGTTCAGATCTTAAATGCGCCACGGAGCCTCTAAGGTCGAAACGAAATTGGTAAGGTCTGCTTAACTCGTGGTTATTTATTTCAGTAATACTGCCCAACAATTTTCGTTATTGTGATGGCTCTTTGAATGAATACAAACCGGTCATTAAATTTCACAAAACGAACTGTCTTACATTACCATGAACATAATTTAGATCAAATCCAGTTAGTTTCTTGTTTCATGATATATTTGTAGAGAAGACAACCAGCCACATTAAAGTATCAGATTGCATCAGAAATGTAAGCTTTCCTTTTAGACTTACCGACAGCATCATAAACCTCCCGGTATTTCACGACTTTGTGGTGTGCAGAGATTCGATTTCTCTACTTAGATGTGCGAAAAAGTGCTTATACTTCGCAGAGGTCTAGAGGGAGAGAAAATGTAGCAATGTGGTGACGATACTCGACCAAGTTCTTCCTACTGTCACTTGATTCAACTCAACATTTGATAAGATTCCCGCATACCATGTTGACAAAGGCAAATAGGCCGCATTTCACCAAAGTGCAGTTCACGTTTCCTAATGTTAGCATCTAATGAGTGTTTACCGATTACGACATTAATCAATAGAATGCCGTTTGGTGTTGAAAGTGGTGTCATTTTGTGGGTAAGATAAAGTCGTATAGATTTAGTGGCTGCTTTTAATTTCAAATCTTCAAACCATAATTATTTACTTTGCCGATTCTATTGGAGGCTTCTAACGATATAAAGTTGTATTTATGTGCAAATAAAATATATATATATATATATATATATATATATGTTCACGACTATAAAATTTTGCCCACAGAATTGACAGTTTGCAAATTTGGGCAAGTAAGCTCTAATAAAATATAAAGGTGACTTCAATTATTTACCACTGGATTTTGAAGGAAGTCCTACTGATATGATCGAGAGTAGATGGCACAGATGTCGGAATCTTGAAATATTTAATTACTACTGTTTTAATTGAGTAGGTGTTCTCCACAATTTTCAATTAATGCTCTAATGGTAAATAACTGAGTGCGCGTAAGGGAGGAGTTGGTCAGACCACCAAGATTCGTTTCTCCTCTCATTCTCTTGGGGCGTTGGATGGGCATCTTGTAAACTTAGCTAAGCTAGTTAATGTAATGTTTTGACGGTATTTTCCTTGAGAAGTTACTTCTTTAATGAAAGTCGAGGTTTTCTTCACCCAACTGATATTTCAACCCTCCGAGTCAAGATTTCCTTTTATATTGCAAGACTAGTTGAACAAAAAATGATTTCTTTTATGGATTTAAAGTTTTGTGTAAAAACAAATGTAAATGACAAACTTATCGAATAATACTTACATTTACGTAATTTTCTCGCGCATATGCACTTTATACTATGACATCTCTTGTTTTTCCGTCAAAAAACTTAATTCAATTAAACTTTACACAATTTTTTTCTGTCTAAATCCACTATTATAAATTTCAACCTGAAACTAGATGAGCTATATCAGCAGTATCGTGGTGGCAGGACGTTTGAAGTGAATACTAGTCATTACAAACTGTGTCCGACATCAGACTTTACCAGTGAATGAATATATATTGAGCAAGTTGTAATGAGTGTCTATCTCTGATTAGCAAAGAAGTAATCTGCACATACGTTAGATGATCAATTCCGCAGACAAATATTTCTGAATAAGGGGTGCGCGATAGACTTACCTCCACGTGGTGCACCCTGGGCAACGTATACTCATACGGCAAAAAAGTCTATTAACCGGCATTTGACTTCTGACTTCAAAATACCATGGCCCAACTGCTTGTCATATTCGACCCCTTCCTCAGTACTCATCTTACCTTTTTCCCTACCGTTATGTCTGTCTGCCTCTTTTTCATCTGTGAATCGCTCTTCTATTCCCCACCCCTCGACTTTCTGCTACTTTGATGAACCTTCCCTCTGTGAAGCCCGAAGTCAGCCAAATGGTTAATGATAGCTATCAAAAGGCCTGCCATTTGAAATAAAAATATATATATATTTTTCTGAATAATCTCTCCCGTGCGAAACCACATCGTTTCACCCTGATAGTATTGTACACTCCACTTGTGAAGTGTGCTAGATGGATTTATGGGCATTCATTTCTATCCTTCAATGGACTATTATTGGATTATACTTCAGTCAAATCAAGTTTTATGAATGCTCACTTGTGTTAAGTTGAATGCTCGATCGCATTCACTAATACTCGTTAAAAGAGGTGAGATGAATGCGGCAGAATACAAATTTTCATCGAGGAGATGGATTGAACTTAACTGCTTACAATGCGTTACTATTGCATTTTATTGCTTGTTAATTTATTTCGTATTATTTATTTCATGAGTATTAATCTTTACCTCATTAAATCCAAAAGTCACGCATGACTTATGGATTTTTTCGACTTTCCCCAATTCCAGCCTATTCTTGCTCAACTTCACTCTGTTCAATGTGGCGTCTTCCCTAATTTCGTGTTTACATTGCGGACACACTGATTGAGTAATTTTCCGTTTTCGTGCCACAAATGAATGATCCCAAAGCTGCCACCCACTTCTGATAGAGAATCGTTCTCTCCAACTACTGAAAATAATTCCTCCCAAATGCGTCTGTGCTTTTCATTAAAACATAATCTAAGATAGCAAGAATTTCTAGTACTGTTGAATTTATCACTAGACTTTTAAGCAAGATAAATAGGCTGAGTTCCAATTTCGTATTGAGCCGTTATTAAGCTACTCGTATAAATTTATTACGTTTTAGAGTTACTTGCCTAAAATACGGAACAGTGGGTAGCAGTTCATTAGTTTATTTTTATATTTATTTTATTTTTAAGGTGCCGATTGCTGTAGGAATAAGCCCTGTCTCAATCTCAGTCATTTCTGTGGTAAAACCATCTCTACGGAATGTCTCACGGAATTCTGTGATGTGCCTTCCACCAATGGGAAATTGGCTCAGAGCTTGAACAGTAAGTTTTCTATTGGGTGCGCTGATCCTGTAAAGAATATTGATTGTTGATTAGCTGAGAGGACTCTGCATTCGAGGCCTCATTTGTTCCATATCGCGATCATCATCACGACGCACTCTCATGAATGTTTGTATTTGCATCGTGTTTGGATTGTTTACACCTCAGAAAGGTATCATTTCTATCTTAACTCTCACGCAGGTGCTCATCCTTTTACGACATTCACTAAACGGCCTATGGTTTAGGTTTTTATAAATATTTCTAGTCTATTTAGGATTGATAGGATCAGGGTCCTTTGCCATTTTGGAACTTGAGCACAACAAGATTCCAACCTCAATGGGTGGGTTGATAAATGGAAGAATAGATACATGCAAACTTATGGAAATCACATAGCAGATTAGTTTTCAGCTAACGTGTACTGAGCACTGAGCCACGCAGGCAATTAATTTGATTTAAATGAAATTCATCGTAAGTGGTTTGATGACTGGTGAGCGCCTAAAAATGCCTTCAATAGAAAGTAAAGAATTAGAATTTTTTGACAATCGAAAGATTTAAAAAGCAGTACAATTGATTGGAGTTAAGCAAACGATACTTAAGTGTGGAATAATTAACGCAATACTGTTCGAATTTGGTTGACTTCTTGGCTTTGGGGCGTCTACTTACACACCCGCACAAACATAATTAGGGAACGGTATCACGCACGCACCTTCTGAAGAGCTCTAGTCTACGCAAGATTCATTTAAGACGGATTTGACAGTGTTGAACACTCCCCAAACTATGCCTTTCACATTGAAATTAGACAAGTAATTTTAATTCAGGTTTCAGAAAAAGTGTCAACATCCATTGACTTTAAAAATCACCCCAACACTCTCCTCCACCATCCTTTGACTTTTTTATCGTGACGTGTTTTCCATGCAAAACATACTGTTTAAATTAAACTTAAAATGCAACAGAACATTAAAAATTCACAATTAAAAGGAACATTCATTTGGGGGTCTTTGGTGGTTTGAAAGTCCAGATGTAAAATGCAGAAGATTAATAACTAGTCACATTAAAGTACCAGATTGTCTCCAATTTATCCACAATGCTTTAAACCTCGCAGGACAACACAACCTTGAGATGAACATTGATTCGATTCCACTTTTCGAATATGTAACGGGTCTTAGTTGCGCTAAAAGTGTTATTGCTTTTCAGAGTGCTAGAGGGAGACAAGATGTGACAAGGTGGTGGCAATACTTGTCCGAATTCCTCCTCCTGTCACTTGATTCAACTCAATACTTAGGAAAAGCAAATACGTCACATTTCACCAAAGTGTAGTGTTTAACGATGATGACGTTAAGAAATAGAGTGTTGAAAGTCGTAGAGAGTCAGTGACTGCTTTACTTTCAAATCTTAAAACTTTATTTATGTACTTTGATGATTCTAATGAAAGATTCTACCCATGTCTGCTTGTACTTTGGGGCAAATGAATAACAATGATTTATTCCTGGTAATGAAATTTCATACAATTACTGAATGTTCAATGAGAGGTGTGAATTTTTTAGATGGAATTCTGATAATATAAGAAAAAAATAGATCTGTAATTTGTAATGTAAATTTTTGCAAGTGGGCTCTAATAAAAAACAGACGATGGAATATTCGACAGATAACGGAGAAATGAATGCCGACCGTTTACGCCTCAATTATGTTCTTTTCAGACTCACCACTTGGAAGCTTCTTCAATGCCTTCGACGACATGATGTAGATAATTGTGGGTGGAATAAATAGAAGAAAAGCCAATATGAGAGCAATGGAATTTGCTGTCTTTGGATTTAGTTGAATAAGGCCATATTGAATCATCGAGAAAATTCCACCTATAGTTAATGTAGTTCCAAAGATGGTTCCAAATTGAAAGAGTGGGAAGGCTGTGATGATTGTTATAGAGAATGTGGTGAAAAGAAATCCACGCATGAGTAAGAAGACGACAAAGTTGGCATAGAATGCGTCTTCCGAGGCAATGAATTGAAGACTAGTCACAGTAACTGTAAGCACTGCAAATATATACATCGAAATGGCTGCTGGTCTTGAGTTGTACATCAATACAGCGTAATTTCGCTCATATCCTGATGGAAGTGCTAAGAGGTTTTCCAAATTTGGTTTATGCACACTTCGAATTTTATCAATAATTGCTCCACAAAGGAAAGCTGCTGGAATGCCACCCAGGAGGATAAACGTGAAAACACTACTCAAACGTTCAGTGGTCTCTGGGTTGTCAAAGTAGTAGTCTAAAAGTATACTGAATTCAGCTAGATAGAAGTTGAATTGAAATAAACCAAGACAGATGAACAACAGTGCTACTAAGAAAGTCACGGACCTCATTGATCTCTTCGGTGTAGGGAGTATCTCTGTTATCGCAGCATCTACTCTGATATCCACTGTGGTTTCTTCATTCCCGACCTCATATACATTTCCATCCTGCAATGAAGTAAGGAACATAAATATTACACAAATAGTTAAGTCTAATCTGATACACTAAATTCATTAAATCTTTAGACTCTGAATGAATCACTAATTAATTTTGGGTAGATATGCAGGTGACTATTTCACCATGGTAAAATTTTAAGTGAAATATCAATTCATAAACAAAATTAAATCAAATATTATAGGGCAGTCAATTTCAAAGCGAATTCATTAAATATATGCACTCATAAAATTTTTTTCATTTCGAAAATGAATCAACAATCCGACCATGAAAAATATGGTCCTATTTCTATGCAGTTAGGCACTTTTTACTAAATAAAGCTCCTCATATTATATGACAATTAATTCACACCATGTCATCAAATTTTAAAGTTCAAGGAGAATATCACATCCATTTCAATTTACTTGCCTTTACTCTCGGTTCATCAGTAGCGTCCTCTTTATACTTCGGCATATCATGAAGCCAGTATGACTGTACAAATAATGAATTAAGTAACCCTGTAATTAGAGCTCCAAGAGCTAATATGACGAACGAAGTTCTGAAGGAAAATCCTGCTTTGTAAGCGAGATGTACAAATGCAAAAAAGCCAGATGAACTATCGCCTACGCCTTGCATTAGAGTGACCACCATAGAAGAAGTCCTCGTGAAGAGCTGACCAGCGCTTAGTGTGCAAATAATCATCCCCGAACCTCCAATTCCACTCAGAGTGCTAGCAATAAAGATTATTACTGCAGAAGAGGGTGTTAAGAAAATGAACATGAGTAAGCCTGCGAAATTGATTGCTGATGAGACTATGTTGATTACGCGCAGACCAAAATGATCAATCAGAGGGCCAATGACAACTCCTATAAATAGTTGAACGACGGAACACGTAGTGAAAGCATTGGCATAGATAACAATTTGTTCCGTACATGTTTTTGTGCCATTTTGGCAAACTTCACTGTAAATTCCAATATCTTGGAAAGTAGGGAATAAGGAATTCATGCCCACGATTACTCCACAGAAGCACATTTAAAGTGAGCCCAGCAACACAGCCAGTGTTTTCCGAACATTTAATGGAACAATGTGATCTAATTTTTTACCTAAAATACAAACAAGGAGACTATGATTAGTTAAATATTACAATTATAAAATCGTAAAAGTTAATTTGCCAGGCGTCCAAATAGTATTAAAGCATTCACAATCGGGCTTAACGAATAAATGATATTTGATAATTTTACTTTATATTCATATTTTTTAATATTTTTATCAAATAGATACATACATAATGACCACATGTTTATATTTGAGTAAATTTTCTAAAGAGGTCACGCTATGTAATTTGTTAGTCAACACATTCAAACAATCTCATTTAGTATTATTCTATGCTATTTATTAATTTAAATAATATTTGTATTTGTCTACCTTTCTGACATTTCTTTTTTAATACGATAAGAGCATTAAATGATATTTAAATAAACACTTCAATCATGACCGATTTGAATAATTTTTGCTGAATGTTTATTCTTTTCTAGTGACACTTGGAATGGTTACAAGTAATACGTATCCCATTAACATATTTTATTATGATTTTGTAACAAACAAGTGTTTTAATCTCTCTATGCCGTTTCACGCTTATGAATGTAAATCTATACATGAATTCGACGGAAGAAAGTTACAATAACAACATTGACTCATTTGTTTTGAACGACAAGTCTTAAAGGATTTAGATGACAATTCATTCTTGCACCATCAATATATTTCGCTTTGTGAATAGTTTATGTGGAATGTTCAAATCTAGGCCGGAATACAATGTTTAACATTTTTGTTGAATGGTATTTCTATCATTAGATTGCGATTATAGTATATATGGCCTTGGATTTGACTTTTAAAATTGAATTTTAGCAGGACTTTTTTGGTCAGACAAAATAAACGGAATAGCTTAAAAGAGCAACTAATTAAGACGAATTGAAGATGACCATTTGAGTCATAATCTATCATACGAAAAACATGAATGATTGGTGAAGTTGAGATGAAGATGTCAAATGGAACAGCTTATCGCAAGTTATGATATAAAATAGTTTGTACAGTTCTCGAAGTCATAATCTGCCTTGTCTACTTTCAACATTGGCATATTTATTTTCCCAGTTGACTCGAGAGCAATAATATATCCCTAGTTCCACTATGAAGTACATGATAAAGTACCTTGCTGAGAGGAGACAAATGGAAGAGAAGTTAGATGGAACATTTACTAAAATGGGGGTTTTTGGTGTGGGCAGAAATACTGGCATGGAGGCTGTGCGATAGAGTTCACGAGAATCTATAGAGTAGTCTTATAGAAGTTCATAGAGGTGGTAAGTAGTAAATATAAAGGGGGCGAAGTCTAAGCTAAGGGATAGTCCTTTCAACTTGTTGACGAGGTTAAGACTGCATTATAGACAGCACATACTGATCAACATTCGGGGATCAGTAATGACTGAATCAGATTAAGATTTCACCTATAGTGTTCACAGGCGGTGGGCCATAAGCGAATGCCGATCACCACTTTGAGACCAAGTGAAGAAAACATTTTGAATAACCTATGGGCTGAACATATAACGTCAAAAGGACTTCGTTCAACTTTTGACTACAGAATAATCCATCTTTTACAATAAAGAAGTTTAACGGAATCAATCTCGAAATACCCATCTTCGCATCACAAAAGCATTTCTCTAAAGTTAATGTGAGAACGAATAAATTTCTCTGGGAATAGTTTAACTCGTTTTACATCAAAGTTTTAATTACCCAATGGTGAATAAAAAGTTCAGAATTACTTATTTTTGCAAATGAAATTTGAATTTCTAACTCCGAACACCAAATCAATCATGAAAGAATATCTTCAAGTAACGGATAATGATAATAACCACAAATTAACCACCTCGTTTCATTCTCCCAACAGTTTCTTGTGGCCAATAGAAGTATCGATTTCATTAAGAAATTGTTTCGAATTACAATCTTTTATTCATTAGCCATTATTTGTTCTCTTTTTGGGAAAAATACTTTGTTCGGCTGCCAACTAATTTGATCTAATTTTAAACAATTATTTTAAGTCGAAATATCATCCACTGTAATTTGAGTTGTGAGCTTAATAGCTGTCAAGTTCCAAATTTAAATCATCCAGGCCATTAAAATGGTCTATGTTTTTAGTAAGATACACAAAGTAAAAATAGTCTCTTATTTTTGCCATGACAATTGTGGGGGGGGGGGAGGGGTCAAGACCAATACGATGTAACAAAGAGGGAAGTAGGTGTTATGAACTGTACAAGCAACAACGGGTGAGAGGAAGCTTCCTGTTGATCACTATGACCTCAAACCTCTATTCAATGACAGCTTCAAGGTGAATGTTTGTTTTGATCTCAAAACCATTTATTTCTTCCCTCATGCCGGACCGATTAATCCACTCTTGTTGTGGACATCTTTATTTCATTAAGTTTGGCGGGACTATTTGCCTAATTTTAATGGCCTTGTGGCTCAAATAAAACATAAGATAACCTCGAGCACTTGTCGTCAATTGACTGCCAAAGCACTAGATCTTTCCATACTGCTAATGGTTCACATCTTGCCTTTTTGTATACATATTGTTTTAACCACTTTACATTTTTACTGGTGCACATTTCAACTTGAGAAATTAACTAGAAGCACGTCAGTTGATGTTAAATAATCCAGTTACTGTCATGTAAAGTGACAGTAAGGAAATATCACACTCGAAATATTTCGCTTTAGTATAGAATAGAAAATAAGTAAGTATTTGTATGTCCTAAGTTTGAAGAATGCATTTGCAGTGTGAGAAACGAATGAATGAAATGTTTAGGTTTTGGCCGTTGCAACAGAAATTATGTTTAAAATTTGGTCAGCATTTTAAAATAGATACTTACCAACACCACGACTCGTAAAACTCTTCACCATTAAGAATTATAACTACTCTGTTTTAGGTGTATGTATACTCTAAAATACTCACTTCTTAATTAGGATTTAAATATCACCAAGAAAGTCACTCAATCCTTATGCCAATATCTGGGTGTACTTTCATGTACCATGCTGGTTCCCAATCTCCCACATTTGGTAGTAAATTTGGGCTTGTAAAACACGCACACTCACACATACACACACATACGCACATTCACACAAACACAAGGGCTTCTATTCCACTCGTGGAACATTTGCATTGGTTTCTTCTTAATTTCAGTGGAAGCGAAGTAATCAGCAACGGGATCATCTATGACTGGTAATGAAGTTTTTCGAAAGTATATTTTTTCTAGATATTACGTAAGTTTAAATTGTTTCCCTAAAGCAATTGGCAAAAGTTTTCATTTGCACACTCGTTGGAGGAAGTTTGGTGCTAATTTGTGAAAAAAACTGCAAAATTCTTTGCATACAACAACAACAATAACACGAGAACTAAATGAAAGTTCAAAGTCGGCCACGTGAAAAATATTAGCAAGGCTGTATTTCACTTCTTATCACTAATATTGACATAGAAAAGGGTTCGTATGGTTTCACAACGCAGACAATTTATGTAAAGTAGTAAAACGTAACAGGTATGATTATTGGCATTTTGTGACCCCTGACATGGTGGAAGTGGAATTCGACTACTCCGTCACCAGCCCACTACTGACCACCCAAGTCCTTCTGTAATACGTTCGCCAACATCTGCCTTACAATTTCATTAAATGAACAAGCATTCTAAAGTAAAGCATCTTTAACTTGCAGAGCTCATCGATCATAGACTTCTAGAGATTTAAGCATGAACAACTGGTACTGGTAATACTAATAGACTTAGGTCGAAATTTTTGCAATCTCTTTCAGAAATTTAAGATGTCATTGTTCCAGTTATTTTGCAGTACACGACAAATACCAAAACTCCACTTCTATTATACACATTTTTAATCATTTTTCTAACTTCAAGAACGTTGTAAACTTTTCACAATGATACCCATATATAATTTGTTATTTTCCAATCTGGTTTGTAAACCATGTAAGTTTGACCAATCTAAGGTTGCGTGCAATTACGTATTTATCCAAGTTTTCAATAAATTAATGAGTTTTAAGTGCTGTCTCTATTAGCCACGTGTTCATCAGCAAACACACTAGTGGATGTTCGCATCAAAATACGATTTCGATATAATGAAACATAAATCTAACAATTGTTAAATAGATGGCAAGATACGGGGATGCTTTACTGGAAAAGTAAGAATAGGTCTGGAGCTCGAATTTCAAGTTGAACCTCTTTGCTTGTCTCCAAAATCTTCTCCATAGACACAAAGTCTGCTCCAATAGGATGGTAGTTTTATCAGCGACTGGGGATATTTTGACAAAATTTCAGGAAATGAGATTTGAATTCTTCTCTGGTTTCCTAGTCAAATATTTTACTCCCCAGGTCGAAGCAGTCTCAAATCAGAGGAAGGCCAATATTTGAAATTACGCGAATTAAAAGAATACGTAATTGCCTAACTCCTATCCTCGCCTTAATGTTTAGCTAATTTAATTTAATAGAGCGTAAGGACTATTATTATTACCCAGAATAATTAAAGCATATACCCCTTTTTTAATTATAGGAAGTGGTTGAAATCGGTATAGATAGTCCAACAATTGATGAACAGAAGAGATCAAAAGAATTATTTGACCAATGTAAACATATCATAGTATTTTACTTTGCTCGAGCATACCTTTCGAATTTTAAACTATTTGTTGAATGAGTAGTATGTGTTCAAAATTTTACATTTTGCGATGTCGGTTGTCTTTTTCCTATTTTTCACCGGTTGAGAGTACAAACTTACCTTAAAGTTGCCTGCCACTTTGCAGTCAAAATACAAGGGAAGAGACAGACCTCCGCAAAGCTAGTAGATTTAAACTGCTACTATAAACAATAAAGAAATTTACTTGTGTCAATAAGCTTTTTTAAGAAAACTATTTTGATAAATATTTAAAATTCGCAAATCGAGATTTGTTCTAACTTATGGTCATAA